TAAATATCGTCGGATGCAATGTATAGCCATGATAATTGTAACTAGATGATTATGAGTGTCAAACTTGAAAGATGGCATTGAACGTAAAATAGAAATAATTTTAAATATATAAAAATAATTTTTTTTTTGTAAAAAAAATAGTTAAGTATGTACAAATTCAAATTCAAAAAGAGTAACGAATTATTAACAACACATAATGTATAATTTGTTTAAAAAAATTTTAAATTCAAAAAGGAACTACTTAGTATTACCTAACCTTACTAACTTTGTCCTAAATTGTCAAGTGGCCTATTGTTAGCCTGCCACTTGGCTTTATGTGTGATGTTTTTTCTTCTTCTTTTTACAATATATAGATAGATTATGCGATGGAATTGTAAATTTATTGCCTATTTGTAGGTAATTTTCACAAATTAGATTTGATAACTGTTTTAAAAATTCGAGAACTAATAGCATATAATAAAAGAAATTATTAATGATTATTTGTAGGAAGAGATTTGATAATCCAAAGGATGTAGATAATTTGCTTTAGTGTCAAAAAAGAAAAAGAAAATTTGGAAAGTTACAAGACATTACACAAAGAACAAATCAAAAACAAGAAAAGTCAATAAAGAATTTGAAAAGTTACAATATGATTCATGTATATGATATCTTTAATTTTAAAAGAATGGTAAAAACTAGAAACAAAAATGACAAGAAAAAACTTAAATTAGTAAGGGATAATTCGGAAAATATAAATTTATGGTGAGGTTAGTTTTGTCTTGAATAAATTAATTTTTCACTTCTGCTTCTGCTTCTTGGAAGAAGCTAGAATTTTCTGCTTCTTCTCAAAAGCAGAAAAACTGCTTCTGCTGCTGGCCAAAAGTACTTCTCTATATTGGCCAAACAACTTAAATTTTTTTAAAAGTACTTCTTTGAAGGAAAAAAGTACTTTTGGCCTCCAAGAAGCTTGGCCAAACAGGCTCTAAATCTATCAATAAGAGTTCATTAAATATCCGATGGAACCAAAAATACCGATTATGAGCAAACTTAAAGGACCGAAACTGTTGAAAGACATATTTAACGGACCATTTTGAACATACCTCAAACATAAGGGACCGTTATTGTCATTTTCTATAGTTATTTTACCGAATCCAAGTAGGGCTGGGCATAATTTGGTAAATACCGAATTACCGTACCGAAACCGAAAATTTTGGTATTTGGTATGGTATTTGGTTTAAGTTTTTTAAAAAATTGGTATTAGGTATGGTATTTGTTATTTTAAGATAAAATATCGAAATACCGATACCGTACCGAAATATATATTATATTACACAAAACGCATATTATCAATTATAACATAAATATAAAAAATCTAAAATCTTACTTTCCTTTATTCTCAAAGTTCATCAATTAACTCTAAACAAGTAACAAGACATTTCTAATGATCAAATATTCTTTTATGTACAATTTTTTCTATTTGGGTCGATATTTGCTAGTTTTTGACAAAATTTTTGTCAACATACATTTTCAGTTTTGTATTATTTTTGAGTACTTTAATTAATAATATTAGAGTGTATGACTCTATGCACTAGTTAGTATTCAAACCGAATAAACCGAAGTTACCGAACCGAATAAACCGAACCATGCCGAATTTTAGGTACGGTATTGGTATAAGATTTTAAGAAACCGAATACCGATAATACCGAACCGAAATATCTAAATATCGTACCGTACCGACCGGCGAACACCCTAAATCCAAGTTTCATATTTACTTAAAAAAATTAATTTGCATAAAGTCGGTGAGAAAGGGATCTAACGAGTCGCTTCCCGCCCTTCAATCCTTTCCAACCTGGGTGAGGAGACTGGAAAGTTTTTCTATATAAAGCACTACTCCTGAAAGCTTTCATCATTTTCATATCAGGTACGCTCTAAATCGTTCTTACTTCTAACTCGTCCAGAGAATATGTATATTCGCCATTGCTCGCAAGTCACTGCTAGGGTTCCGCGAGCATCACGCACCAAGGGCTTACTATATTGTAATGTCGAGCAGGGCAACCCCTAATAGAGTTCCTAATTAATCAAATAACGCTGATGATATCCTCTGTATTGCATAATTACATGTTGATTGTTGCGATGATATTTCTTGTAATCTAAAGAACGACGGGAAGATAACTGAAGATTTTCAGTTGATATTGAAGATTCGCACAACTTCTAATGCACGGTATTGGTTCTGTTGATGTAGTTTTCATGCAGCTACTTAGTTGTATGTGTTACTTTGCTGAATTATTGCCATCAATTAATCGCCACAATTACTGCTTTTTACTTGTGCTACAAGGATGACTCGCCCGGACAAAGATCGCGGTAACAAATTTCTTTTTCTGTCCTTATCTTATGCGGCGTTTATAGGTTAGTAGCTAATTAAGGAGTACTTTTGTTGCAGATTTCATACTTTAGGTAATTTTATTGATGTCTCATGAATTTTTTTAGGAGACAGTTTAAATTGGACGAATGTGTATATGGTTCTCCACTTCTCTTTCTTATCACATTCGTCAAAGATCAAACATCTTCTTATTCGGTATGTACTATGTACACATACTTTAGTTGTCTTTTACAATAGCATCCTTCAATAGGTGAACCCGTTACCGATCTTGAATCTTGATAAGTAGGTATCTCAAAAACTTCTATGTGGCCCTCCAATTAAAGACGCGGGGAAACGTTTGCTCTGTCTGATTCTTGTTTGATGGTAATGTCTAGCCCTCCTTTCTGTATGTATATTCTTAAGATTATGTTTGCTCGTCTGAGCGCTAAATCATTTGAGGTTTCTGCACTCTTAGTCAAGCTCATCCGTCTTTCCCCTTAACTCTCATATTCGAGCCTTAGTTTAGGCTAGGTGTAATGTTTGAGTGCTTTTGAGTAAAGGCGTAATGTTTGAGATCTTTTGAGTATCTGCCCCGTTACTTGTTATTACCACTGAAATTAAAACATTGTACGGATGCAATGGCATATGCAGGTGAAATAGTTCTGGTCTAGACAATTTATCCTTGTAGTGATGCTCATGAAGATCGATGAATTGGCCTTGATTTTAATGTAATTGAAATGATAAATATTGCATGATGCCATGACCATACACAAACAGCGAGCTATTATCAATTATCTAAAGTGACTTGTTCATGACCTTCTTATCTTCCATTGACTTTCTTTGTCTAACTTCAGGAAACGCTCCCTTCTTTTTTGCTCTGCATTTAAAGAAGAAGTGATCTGGAGTCTGGTGTTCTATGTGAGTTTCTACACTGGGCTTTGTTGAACTCTCATATGTACAAGTTTGCCTTTTGTAGAGAAGGTTAAAGTTTTTCAGCTTTAAGGTTTTCTTGATTGTCTTTGCAGGACAAAGATTTGTGATGCTGAAAAGTATAGGAATTGTGATCAATATTGGCATAAGAGTGGATTTTACTCTCAGTATTGTGCTAAATAGAGGCTATAAAGAATTTACATCATTACCTCAGGGATGTCAAATTTAAGAGTTACCTACCTTTCTTTTTCTATTCCTTTGTATATGCTAGATTGGACAAACCAGGTAGGGCAGCCCGATGCACTAAGCTCCCGCTATGCGCGGGGTCCGGTAAAGGGCCGGACCACAAGGGTCTATTGTACGCAGCCTTACCTTGCATTTATGCAAAAGGCTGTTTCCACGGCCTGAACCCGTGACCTCCTGGCCACATGGCGGCAACTTTACCAGTTACGCCAAGGCTCCCCCTTCGGTACAAAGCAGGTAATTGACTGATATAAAGAGGATAGTTCTAACCTATTTACTTGTAAAGCTACCTTCATATTTCAGTATAGGATATTATATCTCGGGACTAATTATTTCTAATAATCTGCTGATCTGCAGAGCCATTGATATGCCAGGGACTCTCCGAACATGCCATGTCTAAACGCTGTCGCTACACGATTAAGGCCGGCACTGCACCTGTGTCTGAGGCCATCTTTACAAGTTACTCCTACATTTGGTTCTACAGCAAACTGTCCATTAAAGTCCTAATCCACGAGAGCTTCCTTGATCAAGGTCATATGTCACAGTGTGATGAGTGTCTACAACAGTATGACCCTAAAGCCCATTGTCTCTGAGCTTAGAGTAATAGAAGAGATCTTAGATGCAGAGGCTGCCACAAGTTTGACGAAATGTCTTCTATTTCTATGAAGCATGGGAAGATAACAACACGATCATTAAGCGGATAACCTCCAGAGGGAACACAGGCTGGCACCTCAACGAATTGGAGAGGCTGAAAAGCTGGTGAATGCCTCAAAAATAGTTTGTCGAGAAATTGATTCATTGATTGGTCTTTCCACCTGTTCGTGGAAACATTGTTTACAAGAAGGCAACTGATGTATATATATATATATATATATATATATATTGGTGAGTGAAATATTTTGCGACCTCTATCAGTAAGTTTATAGTACTATATGTGTATGTATTTTAAAAATAATTTTGTGAATTAAACTTTAAGCAGTGGTTTTGTTTTTGACCCGCCTCCCTAAAATTGTCTCTGAACAGGACCCGAGGCTCTGTTCCGTAACCTTTTTAGACCTTTTAATTAGTGGAGTCCTCCTATGTTCCAGGTGGCAACAGAATTGGTTTACTCATTTTTCTCTATGGAATAACTTTAGGGGTCGTTTGGTTGTAAATTATTCCGGGATAAGTTGTCCCGGAATTAGTTATTTCACCTTTTCATGGGAATAAAAAACACTATAATCCTGAGATAACTAATTCCGGGATTAATTATACCGCACTTTTCTACCAAGCAAACATGGAATAAACTCTTAAATTTAGTCATGGGATTAATTATTACTTATCCCTCGTACCAAACGAGTCCTTAGTAAGTATGTTTTTTTTTGTTCTTTTTCTCATTTTACTCACATATTATTTTATTTCAAATGGAGTAATGGTTTCGATGACATGGACAACCACTGCATTCCAAATTTCCAGTACTAAATCCATATGCAAGAACCGGTATCTGTATTTCTGATATTCAGAGAAAGAGTACAGAATAGAATCTAATTTTCTTCTTTGATTACTCCTCCTATAAGTCCTAAAGTTGATAGTAATTGCTAGCTTGAACATTACTTGCAGTTTCACTAAGACATTTAGAATACATTAACAAAAAGGAATAAAATCTAGGACTGATAGCTTCTAATTATTATTGTTATTCTTATTTATTATCATCTTACCTATAGTAATTCTTTTTGATATTTGGTTGTGGCTGTATTTGTTCATAGCAGAAGCGCCAGGAAAATTAGGGAGGAAAATGAAATTAAACAACCAAAGGGGCAGAGGAGAAGTGAGAAGATGTACAGATTACTGTAATCTAAGCTCAGTATTTACTATACCCTCGGGAGCAAAATTTCGATGAAACCCAACTTTTTAAGAGGGCAAACCAGGAAAATCTATGCGGTTAAGACAACCTCAGTCCTACTCACACACACGTTGAATTTGTTTTACATCTTCTCAACAGCACAAAAAGTTAATTTTGTTTTTGAAACGGTGCTGATGTAGTAAGTGGGTTTTGAAAGACTCATTGACAGATGTGCTCCGCCTCTGCTGCATGCCTTCCATTTTTCATATAACCCTGTTTTCTCTCTGTCTCTTTCTCCTACTTGTCCTTAGTACTGGCGTCACCTTTTGGGGTTCTATTGCACTTCCGTTTTTGCCTTTGCTCTCTGTTGATTTCGTTTGGGTTTCAAAATTGCAGTGCTCTTCTTGTTCTGTATGTGCTGTGAGAAAACGGAATGGGTGCCTTATCTCTTGCTTCTCTTTCTGAAGAGGAACGCAACAAAAGACTTGTTGAAGCTGGGAATGAGCTGCTTCAGCAGCTCCCTTCTTCTAAAGAGGAGCTTCTGGAGAAACTTGATGTGAGACCCTTTTCTTTTCAAATGGCACTGTTTTTTTTTGTGTTTTTTTTTTTGCAATTTTATTCCCACCAAGATCAGAGCTTTTGCGTTTTCTTAAATGATGCTTCTATGCAAATGTATGTTTCTTCAACGCTGCTGTTTTGTTAATAAAAGGTCATGAGATAGTAACTTGTTTAATTTTTTTATTACCGACTTCCTAAAATGATCTGAAATTTGTTTCGGGTAAAAAATTGTTAGTTAATCCTAGGATTAAATGATCCTTTTCTGTGTATGTAGTGGCGATTGGTAATGGTTTACTCTATGAGTCATTGATTGAAGCAGTTGGAATCTTAGGGAGGGGGGCTGGGGGAGGGGGGAGGCGAGGAGGATGGTTTACATCGGGTGAAGATTCTGTTAAGCCTCCTAGCGAAAGATCATCTCCTAATAAGAGATATATTTCTTTTTAAAGATATTCGAAGAATTAAAAGCTCCTTTTTTATGTTTGCTTTGCAAAGCAATAGTGGCGGTTCAAAGTCTGGATAAAGATGGAGCGATGTGGTAGGTTGACATCCAATGAGTTTCTGAATAGGGCGTGAAGAGCAGATTGGATACATAGGATTCGTGTATAGCTGACCCCTTCTAGTTTGGGATTGAGACATAATTGATTGATTTTGTAGGAATTGTTGTAGGAATTATATGATTGCTTGGTGAAGACCACGTCCATGAAGTCGTCATGTGATAACAAGGTGTAAACAGTTTAAGTTTTGTGACTGCATCTCAGCTCTGGGACGAGTTTGTGCTTCACACCTTTAGCTCTAATTTTCCCTGCCTCATGTGGGTATTTTTTTTTTTTTTTGAGAAGGTAATATATAATAAATTGAGATTACACAAAGCAGTGTGGTCCTATATAATTACAAGGAGAGTTGAAGCCTGAGTTCCTAAGTCTTAAACTATCATAAATAATCTAAAATCTCATAAATAGACTCAGCTTCTTGTAAGTACTCCTGTTTACACCAAAATAAAATAGGACTAGACAATTCATCTTCAGCTTCTGAATGGAACTTCTGTTATCTTCAAACATCTCTGGTTTCTCTCTTTCCAGATTGTCCACCAGATGCAAGCTGGGACAATCTTCCATCTCTCTTTGTGTCTTGAAAGGTTACCATCTCTGTTCCAACAAGCTAGGACTTCCTCGATTCTCCTTGGCATGGTCCACCTCGTGTGGGTATATCTCCTCCTTGAGCAAAAGTTAAGTGGAATTGCAGCAGTGTTTAACAAAATCTTTGAATTATCTTATGGTATCCCTGAATTATTTGTTGCTTTGGATGAAAACCAAAGGTGTATGGGATCAGATGTGTATGAACTCATTAGAAGGCTTTGAGATCTCTAAACACCTAATAATCTATGCTTGAACTTTGTGGTGAGACAGGACAAAGCCAGAAAAGTTGTCAACTTGGCTATTCAAAATAGTACAAGAACATTCTTTCACTTGTAAGCTTGAATCGCATGTTGCCTTGTGTAGATTTGGGATAGTGGGGTTAGGTGTTCACCCTAAGGAAGTTTTTAGGCTTGAACAGGAGACAAATGTGATACCTTATCCTTCAATAAATATTATATTATGTTTAACGATTCTTAAGTTTCTAACTCTTCGTTGTTTGTTTAACATAGCAGCTGGACCTAGGATATCTACAGTAATCAACATGTTCCTCGCATAAAATTAGCGAAGAAGGTTTATTTTGCGATACAACATGATCCATTTTGAATCTTTTTTAATGTTAAGGAACTTGGCCAAGCTTTTATCTTGTGCTTATATTAATTTATTTATCACAGAGTAGGATTTTCATTTGGCATTGCTTTTTCACTTTTCCTGGCAGTGTAATCTATTATATGGTCTTATACTTACTGTTGTGTAAAGGACAAAATCAAGCTTCCAGATGGTAAAAGCACGTAAAACTATAGAGCGAGAGAGATATGCTTGACCTTGTGATGTAGTGTGGAACTTTATTTGTTTCTTTATTTTCTGCAAAATCTCATGCTTTAGACTTCATCTGTTATACAGAAAAGCCTTTCCATTGTAATTGATGTGGTTCACCATTTGGTTTTGGTAATTTTCAGAATTTAGAGCATCTTCTGTCAATGGTGGAGCAAGTTCCACCTGCATCGGCGCGAGATGCGTTTCAACCTGCAAGGGAAGCACTAGCTGCAGATGGACTTCTACGGCATCCTGACATAGATGTGAAGGTGTCAGTTGCATCTTGCATCGGTGAGATCATGAGAATTACAGCTCCAGATCAACCTTATGAGGATCACATAATTAAGGCAAATACAACTCTTACAGCCTTTGCTTCAATATAAAGTCAGACTTGTTGCCATTCTCTTTTCTAACTAAGCTGTTTTTCTTTTAACTGATGGTTCAGATTCTGTAATAGTTATGCACCTATGATTTACTTGGTTAGTTGGATGCATGAATAGTATTTAGATTCTCAGTTTTGTTTCTTGCGCGATTGCCGGACAGGAATTTTTTGAGCTTTCAGTATTGGCATTTGAGAAATTGTCTTGCATTGATGGTTGTGGTTATTCAAAGGCTGTTTCAATTATCGAAGTTCTTGCGAAGTACCGAACATGCATTCTGATGTTGGATCTCGAGTTAGACGCATTGGTGGTTCAGATGTTTCAACATTTTCTGAATAGCATAAGGTTTGATCTCCAATTATGTTATTCGTTCATAATTTGTCTAAAGGAAGAGGGGATGAATTGGGACGGAGGGAGTAATTGGATATTTCTTTCTCAGGGTCACTAATTAATGATAAGTCATGTTTGAATATATATTTTGTACCAATCAAACACTGTTATCACAAATGGGAAGGAGGGAGTGTATAACAGAGTTCTAGCATGCATGCGAATTCGCTGTTGTATCTTCATATATTGGATACAGTATAAATGAACTTATATGCTAAGGTACATAGCATGTCAAAAACTACCAGATTATTTATGAAGTTCAAAGACTACCTGTTCCTCATGCCATTCTTTTTTCTGGAAATGGCTGACAATGGGTTTTTATATCTTGCCCCATTTTAAGGCCGGACCACCCTGATCATGTATTCATGGACATCGAGGAAATAATGAGCATGATGATAAAAGAGAGTGATGAAATTTCAATGGAGCTTCTGAACATCCTGATAAGTAGTGTTAAGAAGGAAAACCAGGTATTGCTTCTCCTCTACAACTCCATTCATTTATCTTTGATGCATCTTTCTTATTGAATTTTTAATGAAGTTGTCTTTTGGTTCAGAATGTTTCACCTCGCTCCTATATGCTAGGAGAGAGTGTTCTTCAAATAAGTGCTGTCAAACTTTGTCCATATCTTCCAGAAGCACTGAGGTCCTTGAGCATTGCCATTGATGATCATTCTGAAGTTGTTGAATTGATATGGAGAGAGGCAACTAAAAGTAAAACTACGGTAGGTCTATCTGATAGGATTGTTCAGTTAAAATATGTGGTATTGATGAAATCATGTTTGGTTATTTGTTCTGGATTTATACTAATGATGTGAATGGTTCCTTCGCTTTGCCCTTGTCAGAATGGTAAAAAGTCTCTCCCTAGTTCTAGGCCAGGAGAAATTGATCAATTTGTGGATGGAGCATCAAAATCACAAGTGGAAAATGGTCCTGAAGAGCGTTATCATAAAGCTGCTTGCTTTGACGATGCCTGTCCATCCACGGAAGAAACTTCCAAGTGTCTTCCAGATGCTGACTCTAAAGTTATTTCAGCTGATGACACTGTTGTCTTATTTGAGCGATCTGCAGAGGATTCCTTGAAGGCACCGGTCAATAATGACTCAAAAGAGCTTACCCGCGGAGCTGGTTATGATAGCAAAGTTGGTCCATCCATACCTGGATCTTCCAAGTCACCTACAAATGACGACTCTAACGAGCTTGCACCACATGGTGCACCTGAGAAAGTTACTCCATTCTTAGATCAACCATCTGACTTGCTGGGGAAATATGACCCTGAGCATAAGGAAGATGTCGTCGTTCCAGAGATGGATACATCTTTGAAAGGATCACAATGTGGAGATGCAACAAAGCAGCAGAAAAATACAGATTCAATGACCAATTCTCGACCTGAAAACTTAGGTTTCATACATGCACCCGAAAAAGATCTAGATTCAGAAGCTACTCAAGCTTCAAGGAAAAGAGGTTGGAAACCTAATTTTTTGAAGAAGCCAGAGGAAGGATATGATCATGTTTGGTTAAGTGGAGAAAGGAGATCAAAAGCCTGTATTCGCTGGAAGGATTATGGGAAAGATACTAAAAAGAGAAGTAGCTGTTCACCTAAATGTGCTGTCTCCGATGAATTGTACTTGTCATCTGGTGTGGAGAAGACTCCGAAAATGACTATAAGAAGACGCCAAAAGGAGCAAAATGACATAATAGGTCAGAATAATGGTGCACAAATTTCATCAATTTCAGCAAGAAATTTACCCGGAGTTTTAACAAAGAAGAAAGTCTCACAACCTAAATTGATTGCTTTAGAAGAGTTTGTTGTCTTGGAGGCATTAGAAAAGAAACATGAAAAAGGTGACAAGAAAAATTTACCTGCCAGCTATCGTGATAGAAGACAGCGGTCATCAGTTAAAGAATCAGGGATTGAGGTAGTAAATATAAACAGTTAGCTTCAATTCGCTGAATATGATTTGAAAGTTATGTGAATTTTGGTAAGGTATTTGTTGTGCCCCTTAGTTCTTGACTTATTAATACATAAATTGAGTTTTGCAGGCATTGGCTTCTCTCTCGATCACCAACAAGAGCAACTTTGCCAATACCTCTGAAGGTCAACGTAAGAAGGAGAACTCATCATCACAAGAAGAGGTAAACATTTGTTATCCTTAATTAGAGCTGGCTTTTATAGTTAATGGTATTAGACAACCTTCAATAAGTGATTACTAAAGTGAATGTTCTTGTCTTGGAAGTTATGTGGATTCAAGTAAAGTATTTGTTCTACCTCTCAATTTTGGACTTACTATGTACATAAATTGAGTTGTGCAGGCATTGGGTTCTCTCTCAATCACCAAAGAAAACAACTTTTCCAAAACCTCTAAAGAACAACATAAAAGGAAGAACTCGCCATCACAAGAAGAGGTAAACATTTATTATCACCATCAATTAGACCTGACATATAGTTAATGATATTAAACAACCTCGAATAAGTGATTACTAAAGTGAATGTTCTCAATTTGGAAGTTATGTGGATTTAAATAAACTATTTGTTCTACCCCTTTAGTCTTGGATTTATTATGTTGTGCAGGCATTGGATTCTCTTTCAATAACCAAGAAAAGGACCTTACCGAAAGCCTCTAAAGAACAACGTAAAAGGAAGAATTTGCCATCACAAGAGGTAAACATTTATTATCACTTATTAGAGCTGGCTTATGGTTAATGATATTAGACAACCTTCAATAAGTGATTACTAAAGGGAATGTTAACAGTTAACGAGGTTATTTATGTGCTGAAACTAGTTTTCCATTGTACTTATAAAAAAAAATCTAGTTTTCCTTTGTAACTGAAGAGAAAAGACTTGACCAATTAGAAATTTGAAGTGCATAATGTCCATCCTTCCAGCTCATCTCTGCATTGATTAGTGTTGTTTGCTTTCAAGATTTATAAGCCTCTCTATAATCTTCTCAGGATTCTGCGGATAAGGTTGTCAGAGAGCACGGTGAGGAGCTGATTGGCTGCAGAATAAGGGTTTGGTGGCCACTGGATCAAAGGTATGTGATTTCACTGAATTAATTATTATGCAGTCTAGCTTCTGCGATTCCTGTTAAAAGCTTTTAATGTTTAAGTGCTCTTTCACTGAGTGAGTACAAAGTTTTTCATTTGAACAAGCTCTGAATGAATCACTCTGTCATAATATTCTGAATATGACTAATATTTAAGAATCAGCCTCAATTATGGTGTTATGTGCAGAAGGTAGGTAAAATTATTTTGAATGTTAATGATAAGAAATAGTTGTCTAGAATGCATAAAGAAATACTGGGATCTGTTTGAATCATGAAGGAAATAGTGACTACATCGAACGGCTAATTAGCTGGACGGGGCAGAGAAGATGGATTAGTATGGGCAATTGTATTATTAAAGTTTCTTGTTGTAAAAATTAAATAAAAGTACTTGTTATAGTCCAGCCATCATAACTCATAAGGACTTGTGAGCATCTAAACTCCTGGCATGAAATTCTGAGTTGACTTGTTTTAGAGAAGGGGAGCCTGGTACCCACCTGCATATTAACAATGTACGACTAAAAGCCCACTAGCACAGGTACTGGATAACCTTTTCTACCAACGCTTGGATGGGAAGAAATCACCTAGTGTTTTTGCCTCCGCTCGGATTTGAACCCGAGACCTCATGGTTCTAAACCCACTTCGGTAACCACTAGGTCACACCCTTGGGTGCGGTTGGAGGTCTAACCGGTTATATTTGAGTAAAATAATGGTGAAGCTGATTCTTTTTGTTTTAAACAGAAAATTGGATGCTTACCCCCCTCCTCCCTCCCCGCCCCCCTCAAAAAAAAAAAAAAGAAGAAAAAAACTCACCAAACCCAACTGAAAAGAAAAAGGTTTTCAGTACGGGAATATGTGTTTCAACCTATAGAAGCCTTTCTTATCGAGTAATATGACAACTTTAAGATGCTAAGCAAATGTATCTTGTTGGCGCTTGGTTCAGTAATTGCGTCTTTAGAGATATGGTAGTATCATTGTGCAAAGGACATTTAATTAAAGAGTTGGTAGAATTTTTATGATTCATTTTTCAGAAAAAATTGTTAGGTCTGTAGAGGCAGACTTTTGAGCAATTAGCTGCTTCCTTTTTATCCTCTATTTACTTTGACATATTATTTTGTTTCGTTCTAATGTAGTATATTCTTTAGTTCAAATGTTACATTACATAGAATTCATATTCTGTAGGTTCTATGAAGGACGTATCGCCTTGTTTGACCGTTCAGAGAAGAAGCATATGGTAAAGATTTAGTATGTTTTAATAAGACATTATTTATCTTGTATATTAACTGACGTCAACTGCTATATGTAATCATACTCCCTTGGTCTTCAGCTGGTTGATGCTCCTCATATGTTAATAGGCTGGGTGTCAGTATACATTTTCACAGGCAGAATTATTTTCTGTATCTAATTTGGTGTTAATTTGACGAGCAGCTTCTTGTGTGTCGGTAATGTTTTATCATTTATGTTTTTTCTCATGGTATTGTAAGGTGATCTATGATGATGGTGATGAAGAAACGCTAGATCTTACAAGCGAACGCTGGGAACTGCTTGTAGAGGACAATGCTTCAGATCCTGTGGGTTCCTACCAGTCTTTTCTTTTCCCTTCTCTTCTCTATTCGTCTGTTCTGCACTTGTCTTTAATTGCATAACTTATTGGTGGATGTATTTCAGAGGCGAGAGATTGTTTCTGGTCCCAGTGATTCGTTTGACATGTAAGCTTCCTTCACCCAACTTATTCATTCATGGAAAGTCATTATGATGATTTAGAATGCTGCTTGTAAAGTTGACACAGGGAAACATTTTGTCCCTATTGTCTCGAGATTACAATAGTGAGAATTGAGGGTGCAACTTTTACAGTTGGCATCTCATTGGTTACAACTATGTCTGACAGAGACTGAAATATTAGCGTCAGAGTTAAAACTTAGATCATTGTTACGTGCTGGATAGCTATAGATACTAGAGTGAACCACCTTCATTTAGCTTTTCCTGTACTTCTTGGCGCCCTTTCACTTTCCTCTCAGTACATTGAATCTAAATTCAACAATCCAATTTTATTGTAGTTGTCTCGCATAGACATGGATTTCCCTGGAAGTCTCTCACTGAAAACATGGATTTACCTGCAAGTCTCTCAGTGAAAATGTCACATCCTTTTTTTTTTTTTGGTAAGGTAAAAGTTTTATTCATAAGGTACCAAGATGGTACAAAAAGGTACAGAAAACATCCCAAAACAGTCGTATCCTATAAGCTTCCAAGTAAATCCAGAAACTCTAAAAACTTTTGATGTTCTGTTGATACACTGCTTTTACACCAATAAAACAAGTTGTGAATACATTTGTTTCTAATTCTAAAAACGTGCTCCCTATGTCCTTCAAAACAAGCCTGGTTCCTTTCCAGCCATAAAGTCCAGAAGATGCATAATGGGATGGTTCTCCATATTTGCTTCAGTCTTCTAGGTACTCTTTGACTATGCCACTCTTCCAACAAGCTCCTAACAGTCGGTGGCATCACCCAAGAAATTCCACATATGTTCAAGAATAAATCCCAACATTGTCTAGCAATTCTACAATGAAGCTTAATATGATTCACTGATTCTTGATCTCCTTCACACAAATAGCATCTATTGCTAAGATTAAATCCTCTTTTTTGCAAATTGTCTTGTGTCAAACATGCTTCCCAAGTTGCTATCCAACCAAAGCATGCCACCTTGGCTGGAGCTTTTGTCTTCCATATCATCTTCCATGGCCAATTATCAACCCTGTGTCTTGACTGCTTAATCAGCATATTGTAACAACTTCTGACTGAAAATGTCACATCCTTTTATTTTCCTTTCTTCCTTTTTTTTTCTTTAGCAAAACTTCTCGATAGGTTGGATGTCCATACTTTATACATTTGCCTTCCTTTCCCTATTTCACTAGTTTTCTTCTCTTGCTGTGCTATTGGTGTCCTCATTTTCAGGTAAGCTACCCCTACACATCTATCTTCACCCTTGGTTGGAAGTGTATGTTATATGTTAAATGTTAATTGAATGCATCAGAATAGTGATGGTTGTGTCCAACCATAAACCGTGTTCAAATCTTCTTGCGAAGGTGGATTCTTAAGTAATGCATCCATCACTGAAAGTATCCTAGCAAGCTTCGGAGCTAAAAGTGATGCCCTTAAATGTCCAACCTGTTATAATAGAGCCTTCAGCCATTTACTTAATAGAATCACGTTAAAATCTTTTTTTTGTCTCTGCCCTTTCAACAGAATGAGATCTTTCCTTACTTCTTTTTCCCTTAAAAATGAAACCTTCTTTTTTGCCTCGTGCCTTCTTTAATTTAATTACAGAATTACTGACATACACCCTTCCTAATTTTGTAAGAAAACAAAAAACCTGAAAGGTTGGTTACTTCGTTTTCCAGATAATTAAGCTTATCGAGAGAAGTTCCAGATAATAACAGTGTCTTTCTAGTTTTTTGTGGATAGGCAATTTCTTTCTAGTATATTTGGGATTTAAACAAGATATAAGGCTTTTTTAGAATTTATTCTGAATGTACATGCTAAAAGGAAAGAAGCTAAAAGTCGAGCACTGCTTTAGTATATATTTGATAAGTTGCTGTATGTGAATAATAAACAACAGAATAATGTTATGTTTGTGGCGAAGTTTTTCTGTTATCCATTTTGAAGTATTAATAAACTTCTGAAATAAACCCCAGTAAAGGTAGAATGTGAATTTTTGAAAAGGAAATGTGAATGAACTTTTTTTGAAAAGGAAATGTGTTTACTGATTGCATTCCATGTTATTTGTACAGAGGTGCAGATTTCCATTAAATTCTTTCTAATGAATCAGAAGGACTAGACCAACTACTGGGACACACTGTAATAATGCAAAAATACAGTCGATAGGAGTACTATTTTATCTTATGAACTAGGATAAGATACTATGTTGCATTTTGAAGTTCAAAACTTTCACATTATATTCTTCACAACTCTTGCTTTCTCAAATATGTGTGAAACAATTTAGTGGTTGATAACATAAGTTGTTAATGTGCAGGCGCCTTGGTTGCGTGATTGATTCATATCGTCATTTAAGGAAAAAGAAGAAGGTGAGAGTACTTTTGTGGAAGATTTCTGCCTGTGAGCTACACATATTTTTGTTCAGATCTCTTTCTAAGATTACATTACTCTATTTATTTTTTATTGTTTTCATATTTCATCATCAAATTGTGTATAAGATAAGTTGATTGAAGACGTTTTATTTAATTAATAAAATTTCCTCTCTTTTTTTGTCACGTTGGAAGAATTTGATTGGAACATGCAACATTTTTATGTTTATACTGCAAAGCTTACCTAGTTGTAGTTACCGCATCTCCTTTTACACAATACCTTTTGTTTCTCTGGTGGTATAAGCGCATAACTGAATTTATTATGTGTCATTGATGGAGTGCAATTCTCTTGGTGCAAAAGTTTGTGTGTTTTCTTGGTTGGAGGTCAGCAAAGGCCTGCTAGGCTTCTGAGATAACTTCTGTCTTGAGTTACATTTTATCAATGGCAGTTATCTTTTATTGGTGATCAATAGTAATTTAAATCTCCAACTTCCTAGGCCTCATTCTTATTCTTTTACCATACTTGGGTCTTGAGAAAAGTCGTTCATGGTTCTGCCGTTTTCTTTAGCCTTTCTTTTGTGAATATATAGCAAACTCGAAACCAAAATAGGCAGAAGGTTCTTTATATACTACAAATCACACTATTGATCAAACTCTTAGATCCCGGGGAGAAAAGATTATAATGACACTCATCTCTTTCTGTTTCTCTGTTGAGCTTTCAAGCTCATGCTCTGCTTCATCTCAGCCGTCCATGTTTTCTCTACAACTACAATAACAACAACTGTGCTTCAATTTTAAGTTGGCTATATGGATCCTCACTATCCATTTCACTCCATTTGGACCCACTTAATCTAATACTCGATTTGGGTTATCACAGATATTCAATAACTTGGGATTCTCTAGATTCAGAGATTCTCTACAATTTCGACTCACATACACATCTCAAAACAGACTAAAAAGACTCCTATCAAACATTACACTGCATACTGTCATGACTAAGTTGTGTTTCCTCTTGTATTTTCTTACAATTTCCACTATAGTAATGTCCTTTACTCAATAAGTGATCCCAGAAGACACCCATTGTCCATATTTCCTTAATTTCTCCCTAGCCGATTATCATTAAAGCAGATATATGGTCCATTTGTGAATGACCGCTAATGAAGATCCAAGGAGCATTGAATGCTTGTCATATACGTTAACTTGACCAAGGTGCTGTATTGTGCTGCCGTGTATGACAGCAAAGAGATATGAAAGGATGTACAACTTTTCACACCTCTTCCCTCTTGGCTGCCAGATCCCCAAATAACGTTCCATCTAGATGATTCCTGGATCATTATCCACGTAATACCTTCTTATGGTTGGTCAGTAGTGCTATTATTGTTCTCTACTGCATTTCCATCATTAGTCTATGTGCCTTTTCATTCCTAGTAAGGGTGAAGGCAATGTCATGTTGCTGAGGTGCGATTCAACAATTATTTTATTTTCGCTAAAATCCATTTACCTCTTTGGGGAAGTTGTCATACCTTCAAATGCATTAACATGTTTCCATAACAAGGCTTCTCCTTTGACCGTCCAAACCCAACGAGATTTTCCTGCAATTTCTTTAACCCTGTATTTTGGAATAACATCCAACTTTTCCCCCTTTAGTGAAATCAGTGAAATCACGGGAAGACCGCCCTAGCTGTCAAATGCACTAGCATTTTCCTATCTGATAAGACTATCGTTCATAAATTCCGATTCAAATTATTGTCCCTCATTTTGTAGTTCTCTTCATGCTATAGGATTATTAAAGTAATTATCTTTAATCTTTGAGTTCAAGTAAAAATGTAGAGATTAAAAAAATCAGCGACAGTTCTCATTTGCTACTGGATAATGTTAGGTTATAGTGTTATGACAAATTTCACGGAAAAGAGGCAGAAAAGTTGCCTTTATATAATGTCGAGGGAGAGGCAGAAAAAGTTATTTAACGTTGACAGAGAGGCAGAAAAGTGTCTTCATATAATGTTGAGAGGGGCAGAAAAAGCCGTCCTTGTGTCACTGTTGCAATAGACGGTCTGCTCATGGGATTCTTAAGAGTTATGGAATAAGCAATCAGTGGCTGTTTTTAGTAAAAACTTGTTCCACCACTGCACTCAACTATTTAACTGTGGCAGTTCAATTTGTAAGTATTAATTAGCTTACTTTCCGATTCATTCCCATCTAATCTTATGGATAGGTCTTTTTATATTCATCCTTTGACTTAAACTAGAGTTAAGACAATCTAATTGTGCGTGTCTTTAATGCTTCAGCAAATAGTCTTTGAGGTTCTCTAAGGATAAAGAGAGAAAATTAAACTGTGGAAGTTCAATTTGTAGGTGTCAATCAGCTTGCTTTCCTATTCAGTTCAAGCATCTAATGAAGGGGTCTAGTTATGGTTATCTTGGTTTTAACTTGAGTTAACACAACATAGTCGTACGTGGCTTTACTATGATTGACAGAATGCTTCAACAAACAATCTTTGATGTTCTCTTAAGATAAAGGAGAAAATTCAAGTCAGGGCAGAGTTTGCTGCTAGTCCACATTAGTTTACGATTTCGTATACTCCCATGCTTTAAATTAGAGTTTGAGACAACCTTTGATATTTGTAGTGAGAATTTAGAGTTTAAAAGCTCTTAGATTATTTACGCACGTTTAGAAAATAGATATAGACATTCCATGGGTACATCGCATTCTGAGACATATTGAGCTCAAGTAATGCTAATGTCCAATGTATCAAACATTATTTGACATTTTGCCTTGGGATGTACAGACCTTAGATATCAATGTTATTAAAGGCTCGATTAAGGCACCCTTAAATCCTGAAACTTGATGACACCTAGGTTGTGCGCTTCGCGTCGCTTAATTGGCGCTAATGTCGATTTCTAGATAGTAGATTCTTTTCATACTGAGGTCGAGGTTGTAGGCCCCTGTGTATACACTTCTTCCACATCGGGACGAGAAGGAGCCCTCTTTGGTAGGCGACAAGCGGCGAGCGTGCCCCTCTCATCGATGAACTATGTCTTTAAAAGCACGACGCTAGACAATGAATTTAGTTGACAAAGTTATACACTAAGTGTTAATAAAATGCTATGACTAAACTTTTAATGATTAGGAAAAGATAATTGGAAATTTAGTATAAGAAATCTAGCCACTAAAAAGTTAAAACATCTTGTCATCTGAATAAAAATAATGGTTTTTTACTTGATTGACATGATTTTCATTTTACTTCAAATATATGGCTTAATTATTTTATTTTTTTTCATTCTTTTGTCAAAATATTTATTGTCTGTGTCTATAGGTACATCTTCTTGCATTACTTGTATATATTTCACTGTTTTCAGTAGCGCTTATCTTCGTTAAAACCTACATTTTAATTGTGCATTGCTCTTACAGCCCCAATTGACTTTGGCGCTTTTCTGCACTTTCCACTTTTGACTACTCTGTTAGATACCTTAATAGAAATTCGAAAGCCCATTTTTAATTTATTTCATAACACCTGTCTATGCTTGAAAAATTGGCAGGGGAAAGCAACTGATGATCGGACTCCTCGTCCAACAAAGTAAGTTATTTATATGGCATTTAACCCCCTCTGCATAATAATTAATGGAATTGGAGCTGAATGAAGTATTTCTATATTAAGGACCATGCAAGGTGATTTAAAAGGAATGCACCAAATTAAAAGGATCAAAGTTGAAGTTTCAGAATCTGAGATAGAGGGAAATCCAATGAGCTTGACAACACCTAGAAAGGTTTCCCCAGGTTCTCCTATTGAAGATGGTGATGAATGCTGTGAATTGGTTGATGTGCATGGCTATAAAGTAAAAGTGAGCAGTGCTCCTACACTTGCTGCCATTTTTAGCAAGTATGGTGACATTACAGCCAACTGTCAGTATAAATCACCGACCGTCAAAGCTTCCCTTCTTGAGGTGGTTAGTGATGTTGTCAGGCGGCTGAAAACCAGTGATATTGATGCTAATTTTTCTGCCATTCAAGATATGAAATCTGTAGTCTCTGATGCTGCAGATGCAAAGCTTGATGTTTCTTGGCTGCAGCAGTATCTTGAGGAGATATCCGAAGAGGAAGATGTGAAGAAAAAATCTTCCAATCTAATGGAGTTAAGGGTGACAACAATGCTTGTCACTAAAGCAGCTAAAAAGGACTTGGTAGAAAGGAATGGGGAGGTCTTAGCAGCAGAGAAACGGCTCAAAAAGGCTGAAAGGCGCTTGCAAGAGGCGCAAAGCCGAGCAGGAGAGGCAGAAAGGTATGTCAAAGTATTTGAAATACTGGGCAAAAAGATTCATCAGGACATCGAGCAGTGTAAGGATGCACTATATTGGCAGAGTAGGTCGAATGACCTTCTGTAGCCTGGATGAAGCTGGGAAGATGGCAGATGGTTGAGACTTGTTTTGTACATGATGGTGACATTTATCTCATTGCAAACTTTCGCATTTTGTGCAGTTTCAAGTTTGTCATATAACAAAAAACTGGACTTGGTTTTTGTATGTAATGCGATATGTGCATGATTGGAAAAGATTATTAGGTTACTGTGTACTGTCTCAAGGAAGACTAATACCATGGCCTCTACAACACCATGAACAATTGTGGTGATGTGCTCAGTGTCTTTAGTGTTTTTTTTTTTTTTTTTTTTGAAAAGGAGCTGCTTAATGTACACTTGAACGAATCCGCTTCAAATTTGATAACTTTCTGTTACAGAACCTGCACTGATGTGTCTCTTAAATATTGAGTTCTCTTCATATGCATTATGAAGTTAGTCTGATCAGGAACAAGGAAGATATTTTCTTCCCCCTAGCTGTGGGCAGATGTTGAAGGGGAGCCTTGGTGTAACTGGTAAAATTGTTGCCATGTGACTAGGATGTCACGGGTTCGAGCCGTGAAAACAGCCTCTTGCAGAAATGCAGGGTAAGGCTGCATACAATAAATCCTTGTGGTCGAGCCCTTCTCCGGACCCCGCCATAGCGGGAGTTCAGTGCACTGGGCTGTCCTTTAGCTGTGGGCAGATCATTTGAAATAGTAGGTTTTAGTTGTAGTCATTTACTCTTTGGATGAGTGTTGGTTACTTAATTTCAAGGTGTCCTAAACTGAAATGAGAATTTACATCTTTTCTCAAGAACCAGGACATTTGAATAAAATCTCTTGCTCTGGTAGAATTTTATCTATTGGGTTGAGATGATGATTCGTCAGCAATTGAGACCGAAATGAATACTCAATGAAATTAGTGTTGGAGGTGAAGATTAGATTTAAATTTCATGTCGGAATGGAATATTTGTCCTATGAGAAAAGGAAAACACGTCCTTCACTTTTTCCAAACATTCATCAGGATTAATTTCATTGTTTAGATTTTATTTTTGATCAGCAGTTGTATCTTGGTATCCAGTCTAGTAAATATAAGATACCAAGATATATACTAGTAAAACTACTAGAATATATGTAAAACCATAGTACCTAATCAAAATGGCTGTTACTTGACTGAACCCCTTGTCAGGTTATGATTCCCTCGAAATTTTGGAGTAAGATATTGATTTTTCTGCAAAATAAATTCTTCAAAACTCTTTTCTGTCAGATATGATTCTTTACTCTGATATCTTACAAGTGTATTCGTGAATTGGCATATACTCCTATGTACATTGCGTAGTTATACTCACAAAATCATTTACGCACATTGACCACATGAAAATTCTTCTACATTTAATGCGAGTGATCCTCAAGTACTAAATCTTTGATATGTCTATATAGAAAGGTAAAGAATAAATGATTAAAAAAATATACATAAAGGGGCAAACATGAGATCCCTTACAAGATTATATACTCAATTGATCCTCAAGTACATGATTGTCTCTGAGAGGGGATGTTTATATTCATGGCGATGAATTCCACCATGAACTAGGAGAAAGCAAAGATGTGCAACTTCAGACACTTGTACTTATTCACTTTGGAGATTTGAGAACAAGAATTGAGTAATTTGTAAAGGAGAAGCAATATACATAAAACGTAACGGATATTTTTTGAGTTAAGGGTGCTTTAGTCTTTTGATTTTGCATCGAACAATCCGCCAAGGTTATATCGGCTTTTTTTCTTGACGGATTATTCGATGTTTCAAAGTGAGTAAGTCAATCAAATATGTTAAAAACTTGAGGAAAAATTAAGTACCATAAAGAACACCAATTAGGTTTCTTTCAAACCAATAGATAGGAGTATCTCTTTTCTCATCTCTTAACATCTTAATTTTCTAGCGTTACACGACATATTTTTATTTTTTGTACTTCTTATTCCAGATTTTATGCAAGATATACTCACCAGCAATTGTTTGTTCGTGATGAATTTGACATATATCTCTCTCAGTTTTATGTCGTCAAAAAAGAGTTTCAATTTTGGAAGAGTTTCAAAGATTCGATCCGAATCGATATAAGTATTTCTATGCACTTCTTTAATCAGTTATTTCACAACTTTTGTGAGGTTAAGCGATTCGGTAATTAAAGCTTCGCGACTCCATTTTAGTTCTTAAAGTCCCCTTGACTAATAAGAAAGATATAAAACATCCCAATTCTCCCTGCTTTCTCCCATAATTGTATAGAAATCTCATGTCAGGACTGTTTTGTTAAATAATAGTAACCTATTAGAGGGAAAAAAAAAAGTCTAGATGTTTGGAGATTAGGAGAAATGATTAACTTTTGATTCATCAAAGTCCAACAATTCATACTTGCAAGTGACATAAGTGTCCAGCACCTTTATATCTCATTATTTTTTGTCAGTGAAGTGCTACTTTATTTCTCTTTCTAGTCTTATTACTTTCACTGGATAAATTTTACAAATGGTTATATAATTATAACATTTTTTTTTTTACCAAAATCATATAATTTTATTTTTTCACACATAAATTATAAAAAATTCACAAATTCACATAAAAATTATAGTGACCCAAAAATACAATTTTTCGGTCGTATTTTCTTATTCCACGTTTTATCATTTTTTATTTTCAGTATAATAAATAATAATCCAATTAAAATAGGAGAAATATATATTTTTTGCCGCTTCAAAAAAATAGCCGATAAAATAAATATTTATATATGTATATATGTGTGTATTATATACCATATAATATATTCTTTTTATTTTTTGTCTAGTGAATGCAATTAGTTTCGGCCAACCGATCATTTTTGTATTTTTTTTTCTTAAAATAGGAATGACCCGACCCAACCCCACTCAATACCCATATACATACGTTAAAATACTACTAAAAATTGAATCCTTCCTCCACAAAAAACTTAATTTGGAATGCAAGAGATTCTGACAAAAAAAAAAGGTATAATTATAGAGAACTGAAAACAAAAAATGCTATAAATTTGAACGAAAATCTTGAAAAGAAAATAAAAGATAGAAGTATAGTGTTTGAAGGATTCACTTACTATTATTTTAATTTATATATATGGGTATTAGGTCCAGTGAATCGGATCAGGTTGGGTCATTCCTAATTTAATTGGATTGTTATTATTTATTAGACAGAAAATAAAAAAATAAAAAACTGTGGAATAAGAAAATAATACTGAAAAGTTGAATTTTCGGTCACTATGATTTTTATGTGAGTTAGTAAAAAATTTATGATTTTTGTGTGAGAAAACAAAGCTATATGACTTTGGTGAAAAAAAGTTATAATTATATGATCATTTGTGAAATTTACCCTGCTTTAAGTTAATCAAATTATCTCTACGATATTGAGGTAGAAAATGAAAATGAAATACGTTGGAAATTTTCAGTTTTATTTACTCTTTTTAGACATCGTTTCTTCATATATACTTGAAGGGCTACTCATGGTCCCGAGTTCCAATCTCTGTGTGTGTGTGTGTGTTTTGTGAAAAAAAGATAATTAGAATTCTTGTATTGGAGGCTCGCCATTTTTCCTTTTGTTTTTCTATTAGCTTGTTTAGAATTACAGTGCAAATTAACTTTAAATATGTCCCTTTTCAAAGATTAAAATTTTTAATTTAACGTTTTGCTTCTTCATTAATGTTTAATCTGAAAAAGACTCAACAACTAGATGCATGGAATACTTTAAGAGCACGTTTGGCAAATTTTCACTTTTTTCGAAAGCAGTGTTTGGCCATATTTTCACTTAAAAATGAAGTTTGGAATTATTCGAAATTGTGAAAAACTCCAAAAAGCTATTTTCCAAAATTTTCACTCAGATCACTCACGAAAATTCAAAAAAAAAAACTCAAAATTATATTAATATCCAAACATAACTCTAATTTTCAAATACTATTTTTATTTGAAATTATTTTTTCACTTTGTTTTCGAAATTTTACAATTCTATGTCCAAACGCCCACTTATTAGGCCACTTGTTTCTGAAGTGCAAAAGTGGTAAATATATCTATTTTCTTAACGCTATAATTTTCCCAGAATTTCTAACCACCAAATCTACTTTTTTTTCTTGTCATATACTTAGTACACAGAAATCTTGAAGCTTAAATCCTACAAAATCCAGCAGCAGCACACAGGCCTTGACATCTGCAGCAGTTTCAAGAATATGCACAGCCTTATAATAACAACAGCCTGATATTGGAAAATACCCTTACTGTAAGTTGGAGAATTCCCTTATGAAATGAGCTAAACTAGTTCAGTCTATGTGTCTCTCCATGTGTATTAGGAAAAGAGAACAACAAATTAAAATGTTATAAAGATTACACTTTCTAAAAGACACACGTAAGGTGGAAAGGAGTAAACTTGCAACGTTTACATAAATTACCAAAATATGAGAAAACAACTTCAAGAAAATATAGAGTCAGTTTATAAGATTAAGCCACGAACATGAAGAAATTGCTCTTTGGTGGAATTCATGTTATTTCATCCATTAAATAATGGATATATTGTCCTTTTCATTGTAATTTCAATATCTTTACACTAAAATTGCAATTACCACTTTTGTCCCTCTCAATAAGATTTGCCATTATCAACATCAAATCAATCTACAATGATAACAAATAAAGGAAGAAATAAAATACGGATAAATTAAAGCTGATACATAGTTTGTATGTAGTGAAGATGAAATAAATAAAAATTAAATCTTTACATGAAGAAGATTGGGAAAGAAAATGCAAGCTCAGACATAGTCAATGCTGATTATATAGTTTGTATTGGGGGTGAATTTGAGACCAAATAGGACATGCAGAGTCTCTCCAAAGTGTAATCTCCACTCGACTTATTCACATTGATTGCGTTTTTAAAGCTAATTTTGGCTTGAGGTTCATAACCTTTTTTAGGGTTTCTCTGCTTTTGTTGTGTGCTTAATTTCATATGCTATTTGGCATAGAATTAGACCAAGTTTCTATGCTATGCAGCAAATTAAACGGAGATAGGAAGATTTACTTAGTTGAGAGGATGTTATGTATTCAACTATTTATATTTGAGGAATATCCTTTCATTCAAAATTTCTTTTTTCTTTAGCCATGAAGTTCCAACTTTGTGTAGAAGATTTTAAATTCTCCACTTTTTAGGTATATTGCTTGTATAAAACAATTTTTTTAAATTATTAATCCTAATAAATAGTAATACAAAATATTATATAAATATTTCAGAAAAAGTAAAAGCCTTTATATATATAGGGATAGATGGCAAAGAGGGCCATTATATCATAAATCTAACATATTGCAACAAAGAAAATAAAATGAAAATGTGCAATTGCGTCAACATTTATAAAAAAGTG